TTAAAGGCTTTTCTGAGCTCTTGCTCAATGCCATCACTTCTCCAAACCCTGCAAGTTGCCAGAACAGGGATTTCAGAAATACTAGCTAAAACATCTTGACAAGCTAAACAGTTTTTAGAACTGGAGTAGGTGGACTTGGCTGACTTGCTGCCAGCTCCAGAGTCTGCACACTGTCGAGGGAGATAAGCAGTGCAGGCAGAGTGGATTAAGGCTGGTGCCAGGAATCTGCAGATCCTGGACCTGCTCTCAGCTCTGCCATCAGCAGCACCAGGTCCTGAACAAGCCACGTCCTTGTTGGCCCAGCCTGTAGGTGAGCTAGGGGCAGGATTTACCTGTTTCTTTCAAAGAATGTTTCTTTTCCTCCATTTTTGAGGGTTCAAGCCCTCAGCCTTATGACCTGTTCATGTGCATTTGGCAGATGCTGAGCTGCTCACAGCTCTCAGCAGGAATGGACCTGAGCAATGCAGCCTTTGAGGAAGTTTTTCTCAGCTCAGTCAGATTTCAGTATTTTATACTTTTATGATGCTTGTCATGAACAACTGACTGAAAAATTTAGCCTCTTTTCATCTCTCTTCCACACATACTGTGGTTGGCATTAACATCTCTGAAACAGGGAACTTGAAACTTCCTTCTGGTGATGTTATGATTCCAGTTGCATCTCAGTTATACAACATAAATGCCTAAAACCACAAATTCTCAAATCTTTCTTGCTCGGGCAAACTCAAGAACGACAGCAGTGAACAATTTGCATTTTTAGAATGGAGAATTTCAAATACTTACAACCACCCTAATTTTTAACTCTCTCCTTGTCAAAACACTAACATGCATCTTCAATTAATTATGTTTTTTCAATATGCTTTTATATCCTGAATCTGTGCAAAAGGAGTTCAGCAGTATCTGATACATTGCTGCATTTTTGACCCAGACTCTAAGAGAACTCGAAGATTCTTACAAACAGATGAAATCAATTTCTTGGCTTTGAAATTTCTGGCATATGCTGCCTCTTTCTGGATGTCAAAGTGAACAACTTGATATACAGCTCATGTCTCTTCATAGCTTTGAACTATCCATAACTTTCTTCTGGTTTGTAGTAAACACATTCCTTAAAGTCTGTGGCATGTTACTTCTCAAATTCTATTTGCATTACCCAGGGTCTCGTCTCTGTACTCTCTCCTCTCTTAAGACTCAGGAATATTTCCATTCTATATTTCCATTTCCTTTTGCATTCTGATCTATTGGGTTTTTTTTAGATGAGAGAAAGCTGCCAATGGGGTGTTAGGAGTAAGATTTTTTTTAAAGTGTATATATGAACTTAAACATTCAGAAAAAGGAGTAGTTTGGGTTGTTCCATGCCTAGATATTAAACATAACTGTATCTGACAACTGAAAAATAGCATCAGTGGCAGAAGCTATTATACTCTAGGACCAAAGCCACAAATTTCCCTGCTAAAATGACTTCCTTTCTCCAGTTATCCCCCTCATCTAAGTTGAGAAAACTCCTCAAGAAAGTTCACCTGCTTATCAAGTGCTGAGCACTTTGAGAATCCCAAGAGGCAGGATGAAGCAGAGCTGTATTTCCAGCTGGCAGAAATGCTCTCTGTGCCCTGCATCAGCCTCGTGAAGTTTAACAAGCAATTCTTGTCAAAGGATTCTCCTTCCTAGGGGCACAGCAAATTATGTAAGAGGATACTTGGCACATTCTGAAAGAGAAGGTTTTCCTTTATCCAAAATGGACCATCTGACACCCTCCTGTTTCATATCTGACACCTTCTTCTTTCATGGTTTTCCATTTTATCTTGAGACAAAGCCATGTGTTTTTGCTTGATCCCATTTGAGTTTGAAGATGGCAGCCAAGGAAATATCAACCACTTGTTTTTTTTCTCTTTAAACATGCCATCAGTTTGTGAACAAATACAACCAAAAAACCTCAGCCCAAACCCTAATTATGTTTTAGATGCCACTAAACAAAACATACCAACAAGAGAAACCCAGGCTAAAAATAAAAATTATCTTTTTTTCTTGATAAACCAGAAACCACTGTAATCTGACTGGTAGATTAAAAAAGAAAAAATAAAAGCTTATCTAGTCCATTTCATGCTCATGCTAAAGTTGATCCACTTAATTATTTCTATCATTATACAGCCCACTGCTTCTTTTTTCCTCCTTGGAAAAAGTGTCAGTGTTACAGGAGGAGATTTTATGCTCAGAGGACCTGGGATTAGAAGAACAGTCATTTTGATATTGGAGATTTGTCTTTGGCACCAGGCTGCTCTTAAGCATGTAAAATTTTTTTATGCTGACATGTGTCTCTGTTACAAAATAATTTCGAACTCTGGGATGGTAACAGATGTTACAGTCCAAAGAATGAAAACTGCTAGTTTAGGATAAAAAACCTTCCGGTGCTATTAGAAAACAGAAGAAAGCACATGGCATAATAGGTCAGTTTAATGGCATTGTTTGCAGTAAAGCTGACATTTCAGGCATAATCTGCAGAGCTCACTTGAAGCAGGACATTTTGCTGGGCAGAGAAGGATTTGATACATTCTTTTATATTGCTGTGTCAAATTGGATTAGAACATAATAAAATGGAGAATGTAAAATAAAAGCCTTTGGGCTCGCTGGTTAGGCAGTGTAATAAGATGCACAAGGAATTAAAATGAATTGTACTCTTCAGAAGTATGACAAACCTGACATGTGCAGTTTGTGTGGAGCTTCTCTTTTTCTCATTCATTTCCTAGGTTTATCCTTCCTGTGTGCACTTTTTGTTGACCTACATAAAAGTGAATTCCCTTCAGTGACTTTGCCCATCATTTTTCTGTTCTCTAATTATTATCTGAAACAAGACGACGTTCAAATATAAATTACTGAAAATCTGCTACAGTTGATACAGTTTTGGTTTCCAACCATAAACTGCCCAACGGGGCTCAAAACTTTGCCAGAATCTTTTTCTGAGTTTTACTAATGCTGCCTGCTGGCCTGGAGTGCAGCCACAGGAATATTCACTGCAGCAGCCTCAGCTGGATCAGGACAGCTTCTGCTGTCAGCCTGAGAGATATCTCAGCTACACAGGCAAGAAAACAGAGTGAAACTTGGATTCTTCAATGGTGCGTGGAGTATTTCTCATAACCTCACGGAATGAATTCTAACCTTTGAATTTTGGAAATGTTAATTGGTAGGCCGGGTACTCCACACTTTCATTTATCTGATACTCTTATCTCAGAGCTCACATTACCCAAAATTGGATGTGTCTCCCATGTACCATGAGTCACTTGCTTTGAAAAGGCCTCTGTTGGCTGGAAAGCCAGTGACAAGTCTAGATGGCAGGTCGTGTGTTCTGTTTGGATAAACAGGGCTACACTTCATGGCAGAATTGGTATCAGGAGGAATTAATAAATGACTCATGTTTCAGTCCTGAATTTCATTCCACATATTACAGAAAATCTGAATACAAATGATATGCTGCATCACTTCTGAAATTTGGAAGAAGTGGTTCAAAAGAAAATAGCAGAGCCAATCTTGTGCCTAAGTCAAAGCAGGGAAAAAGAGCCCTTCACATCAAAGCAGCCCCAGTGTGCGTGCACATTACACTTTCAGTTGACTGTAAAAAATGAAGTTGATCTTTGGACATTTAATGCTGTATGAAGGCAGCCTTTCACTTGCAATGACTGTCAGCTGCTCTGTCACATCCTTACTTTTGCCTTGCAGCTGAAAAGCAGTAACTTCTCCCATAAAAGCCAGGTTTATCCTCCCTGACACCGAGTGCCCGTGCCCCTGCCTGCACCCTGAGTGAAGAACTGCTTGTGCTGCTGCTGCACTTCCATCCTTGTGTGGGACAGGATTGTGCAGAGAATTCACCTTAAAAGTAGGAAAATACCCATTTTCATAAAGAATTTTCCAAGGGAAAAAAGAGTATTTAATCAATTTGGTCTGTAATACAGACAGGCATGTTACCAGACCACATAGGTATAAGGTGAGGGTCTGAATTCAGGCAAGTCATTTCTCAGAACAGCCTTTACTTTTCAATGACTTCTTATTCTCAACTGAGCAGAAGCTTCAGTGCTTTCCTGAACAGAGGTCTAACAAACTTACCCTTTGATCTCCCTGCTAATGATGTCTGGTTTATTTGACTCTAAAATGTGCACTGCACTGGAGTATGGTTTGACATAGCAAATGAAATATTTCCTGACACTTGGCACTGGTGCCTTCACCCCTGTGGATTTCTGTTATGTACCATTCTCACTGAAGGTCTGTCCTCCCGAGGATGTGTGGAATTCATCTCTAATGGCATTACAAGGGGGTTGGCTCCTGCTCTGAGTAGAAAGCTCCTTCATTTTGGAAGTAATTTCCATGATTTTATCCCTAATCACTGTTTAGATTCCTGCATAGAACTTGGTAACAGACACTTTGGGAAGTCAGAAATACAGACTTCTAAAATCCATTCCCCCAGGAACACAGGGATGCCAAACAAAGAGTTAAACCAATTCAGTGTGTTTCACTGCTTCCATGGAACAGCACTGGCTGAGCTCTGACTGGATTGTAGCTGTGGGGGTTTCTGACTTTATGGGAACAGTCTTTTGAAGAACTGAAGATCGCTTCATAAGAAATGTTGAATCTGCAGTTCTGGCTGATTAGTGTGCTGTGAGTTACATTAAAAAATGATGCAAAACAGGAAGACAGGCAAAATAAGAAAAGTAGTATTTCCTTAAGTAAATTTCATATTAAGTAAGATTAAAACATTCTCCAGCATTTCTGCCCTATCAGCAGGGAAATGACTAAACCCACTGTTTCCTACATAAAACATTCTTCAGTATATCCAAAGAACAAGAAATGAGGACTGAAAATGTACTGCCAATTTCCCTGGATTAAGGTCAAAGCTTGAGAAAGAGAGAGAATAGAGTTATTTTCCTTCACAAATTCAACAGACAATTTCAGTTATAATCAGATTAGGGAAATAAAGTCAGGAACAAATAAAATTCAAAAAGAAAAATTGTAATACTTACATTGGTGACATATTCAATATCCTTCCAAATATTACATTCCCTGGGAAAATCTGCCAAATCTAAAAAATTATCCACTACCACTTGGCCAATCAAGTCGTGCCTGGAGAATCTGTCAAAGTCATACACAGAGAAATGAAGTTTCCTTGTGTTGAGATCATTGTACGGGACAGTAAATAAAAAAACCTCATCAAATACTGGATTTAGGGTCTTTCTGTGCACTTTAGTCTGGTGTTTTGTTTTCCTGTCAGGGAGCAGATAGATCTTCACGTAGGGATCTGAAGTTCCAGAGAAGTCCTTTGCAGGCAGGTTGACGGCCTTGTGTATCTTCACAATGAGCTGCTCCAGGTCACAGTCGTACTTGAGGATGAAGTTGAGTTTCCCGCAGGCTTTGCTGGTTCCCCTGCGGCCGTCGTCCGCGTCCAGCGATCTCTGCTTGTACAGCTCGGGCTTGATGCGGCCGATGCCCGTCAGCTGCTCCTGCTTCTGCACCTGCTGGATGTTGAAGTCGGGGTTGGACAGGTTGAGCTGTCTCCGCAGGGAATTGTGCCTTGAAGTGAAAAGGAAAGAGTTGGAACAGGCCGTGCAGGCACGCTGCAGAGCCCGCTGGTGTTACTGTAACCCACAGCGGGGTGGGGTGTTTAACCAAGCCCTGAGACCCCGTGTTTGTGAGAGCTGACCTTCTGCACCACGCTGCTAATGCCACTTCATTTTCTGCTCCCGTGTCTCAGGCTGGGCTGACACCCCAACAATTGTTTGCCTTTCTTCTCTCACACCTGATGTAATAAACTCTGCGGTACTTTGGCTGATAAGCTCCTTTACTTTCATTAGCTGCTTTTAGCTTCAGTCCAGTGAAATTTAGCAATCCACACTTACTGTGACTGAAACTTCTCCTTCATGGATGGTAACAAAAATCAAATTTACAATCCCTGTTGAGGTAGGGAGATGTGAAAGTTGGATTAGTTAAAACCCTAATCTTCTATGAGTTCCATTGTATTGTCCTATTCATATGCAGCAATCACTCAGTGTATTGAAGCACCAGGAGCTCAGGTTGAACATAGAAAGAGCACGTGGAAAATGCCAGCACAGGATTAATCCAATGCTATTTATATTGAATGTAATCAGCAATAGTTCCTCTGCTATAATTGTTCATTCATTCCTGGTAAATATCTGTTTACTCATGCTTAAAGCAGGAACAGCCTCTTATGTGCTATCTTAATTTTTTTTTCTCTTGTTGCATAATAAATACATAATCTTATGGCTCTACATTAGTCATTTCCAGGATAAAATATTATCATGTCACCAACGGAAAAAAAAATTAAAAATTCAACCCTTAAGCTCCTCATGGCAGTAAGGGGCACAGAATATCCTGTGGAGGAATAAAAAGAAGAGGCTAACAAAGAGCCAATGAGCTAGTGCTGTACCTTCTCCAGCTGAAGTGCATCTGCTTTGACTCAGATATTTACTGGCTCTTCACATGCTGATCGTTATTCTTGCTGTATCAAACATAATCCTTTTATACCTGCCCCTGCACACACCCCCAGCCTGCCCCTTTCCTCTTCCCTTGTGTACTGGTTCTCCAGTTCCCCTGGAGACTCCACTGACCCTTGTTCAGTTACATTTCCCCCCACAGTCATGACTGTGGCTAAAATCTTCGATTTTTAAATCCTATTTCTAACTCCTGCAAGAGTTTCATTAGCTTGCCCTACTTTTCCTCTTTGGAAAAATCTTTGAGGAGATATTACTGAGTGTTCAGCACCAGGGCTAAGTGCAAATGAATATGCTTTACAAGCTAAATCTAGGCTGTCCTGGTGCTTTTAAGGGATGCAGGGCTCTGTGTTACCCAGTTCCTGAGGGAAAAGCACCAAGGAGACAGTAGTTGTGATGCCTTATGGTTTTGGCTTTTACATTTTCCATATATTTGTAAGCCTGCAATTCTTTAGTGCATAACTCTAGACTCCATATAGAGCGTGAGCTACTGTTCTCCCAGTTTGGTCAGACACAACAATTCCTCTCCAGGCCTGGGAATCAAGGACACCTCACTGCCTCAGGCCCCAGAAACGTAAACAAAAGTGAACTGGGGGGAGCAAAGTTGGGGTAAATAACTTCATTATCTGAAGCTGTAATTGGGAGATCAACCCCCAATATGCAAATGGACCAAACTTACAAAAGTTATAAAAGTGTGAACACACATGACCCATCGTCCATTTTGGTACAAAAGTTATAAAAGTGCGAAAACACATGGCCCATCGTCCATTTTGGGTGTAGCCCCTGGGGAGCTTTGTCTGCCCAAAACACACCTGAAGGCCCTTCAATAAATATAACCACTTTTTATTGCCTTAATTTATTCTGGCCTCCTGTTTTTAGGTAGTCTCAACAAGGCATCAACTGGGAGAAGAGTGGAATAGAATTGTGACGCTGTCCCTTCAACCTACGAGGTTTGTGAATAACTGTTGTGTGCTTTATTTGTCTTTACAATGAGCGTGGCGAGAAGATGCTACATGTCACGTAGAGCAGTGAGCTGTGCCTGTTGGGCCGTGCGTGCTCTCAGGTGAACAGGGGGCAGGGAGCTGGCTTACTGACCGGGCAGACGCCGTGGGCTCGGTGGTCTGGCGCTGCATGCGCGCGTTGGGCACGCAGTTGTCCTTGGCTGCCGCCTGCGTGTCCAGCGGGAGGTCGGGGGACGTGTGGCTGATCTTCATGGAGGCCTCGGGGAAGGCGGCGGGCTGCCCCAGGTAATCCTGGCCGTACTCACGGCCATCGGCCTCCTCCTCCGCGTAGTGCAGCGGCTCCTGCTTGCCGTCCTTGCTGCCGAAGGGCAGGCCCCGCTCCCGCCACGGGATCCAGCACAGCTTCCAGGACACGAAGAGGGACACGCCGAACAGGGCCAGGCCGCAGGCCGTGACCACCAGCGACAGCAGGCTGATGGAGATGTCTGCGAACAGAGCAGCGCAGGGGCGTCACGCCTCCGCAAACAAACACCTCGGGGCTGCACCTCACAGCTATGGCAACCGGCCGTGACATACAGGCTTATCACAAGTTCCAGTTTCCGTCCCCCCACAGCAAAAGTTTGGAATTCAGTATAAAACCTGAACCTATCGTAATTTCCCTCCAAAAGCTGGGTGGGATGAAAGGTCATCCAAAATGGGAAAGGGTGGTTGTTCACTTGCTCACTCAACTTCTTATTGATGAAAGAGCTGTGCCTGCAGTACATTTTATCTTTTTTTTTCCCTTTCATTTAATGTAGTGTAGTTTACTCCACCTGTTTTACCAGTTTTTACTAGCTTCTCCTCCAGAGCCTGTATTAGGCTTAAGCACCATGAGAATATGCACACAAGCACCTCCGTGACATGAATTTTTTAGGTACTTCACTGATGTATTTTGGTTTGTTATTTTAATTCCATTCCATCTAATTTTAGACTCATTCCTATCTTTGCAAATTATTTTTGACTATCAATGCATGACTTGCTCTTCGTAATTTAATTAGGATACCAGAATCTCTTCAAAACTGAGGTTTTTTTCTGGGTTTTTTTAACTCCAAAGACTCTTTCTTTTCTTTTTCTGAATTTCTGGTATAAAAAGGAATGTGGAGATGAGTTTTCTGTTGTTTTCCCCCACATTTCCAGCATTATCCTACTCCATCAACACAAGTAAGTTACAACTGGGAGTGGGTTTTGCTCCGTGTTGCTTTAAGTTGCACGTTGGGAAAATGACTCAGTGGAACAGCTGTTTTTGTGGTTACAGTGTTTTTGAAATGAATCTCTCTGTGGATTACACAATACATCATGCCTTAAACACAATTAGTGAGGATTCTATTTTACTGCCTTAAATTATAAACACAGGCTGATCAAAGCAATTTTTCACACTGTGTGTAGGTTCAGAGTGTCAGGCTGCATCTCTCTAAGCAAACAGCTAGTCTGAATTCTCAAAGGATGGCAGAGGTTTGAAATGTACTGCTTCTACTAAGACAATTATTTAAGAATGACAATTCAGATGAAACAGCCCCAGTCCATTGCAAAATAAAACTAACTTTAAAAAAAAAAAAAAAAAAAGTAGAAAAGTCAATACCTTCTGCCCCTGCTGTGAGTCTCATTCTCACCAGCCAGACAGATTAAATTTCCACAGTGGGGGGAGTGACACTGCAATCCATTTCACACAGGAGCTGTCCAGATTATTTTGCATGCTACAAACCAATTTCAAACAATTTTAGCCAGCGTGGCCCTTTCTGTCCTTCCCTGAGTCATATGAAGACAAAGCTCATTAAGAGTGGGGACAGCACAGCAGCTGCTTGGAACTACAGCAAAGAGTTTTTCAGAGCTGAAATTAATTAAAGGAATTCCTCCCATGCATAAAAGGGAATTTGGGATAGAGTAGAATGGTGGTCCTTGATAATTTCTGAGTATTTATTGGTAAACAGATCTGGCAGTGGAGGCAGCACAACCTCTTTTTGATTAAAAAGCTGAGGATCAAGGATTTAGAAGTGAAAGAAAGCCCTTAGAATAAAACAATTTGTCTTGGATTCCCTGGAGAAGAAGAAAGAAATCCATCAGAGGTCTGAAAAAGGCCATTTCTTACAAAGAACTGATTCAAGTAAATGACCCAGCATTGAAAGAAATGAGAAAATTGGAGCTATCAGAAGCAACCAGAAGATTACAAGGTGAGAACAGAAGACTGCCCAATGATAAGGGTGTGTGAATATGAAGGTGAGGAACAATTTGAAAAGTAGACCAGCAGTCCCCTACCACACCTTGAAGATGACTTTGGCAGAGGAAGTTTTCTAGAGAACAGACACTGTGAGAAAAAACACGAGGGTGATATGAACTGTTTTTCATTTAGAGAGTTTGGGAGGCTTTAATAACATATATAACACCATTATCTCACAGCCTGCCTGCAGAGAAGCTGGGCAGTAACCAGTGCAGGTCACAGCATGACAGGGGAGTGTTTATCCATCACCTCGGTTTTACTTCTTCCTGACTCCTTTGTGTCAGGGAGAAGTTTTAGAATGGAATTTTTGTTTCTGTGGGTGGAAAAGGGACCATCACTTATCTGTCTTACTTCTATGGAGGACAGCAGACTTAAGGGTAATGCTCTAAGCTTTTCCCTTTCCTCAGACAGTAATTTTCACACCCTGCAGGCCTGGCTGGCAATTTTCACCAACAGTGCAGTTCCATTGTGAATAGCTGAGGTGAGCACAGTCCCACGTCAAGAGATTTTTGGCTGCATCCCAGAGCTGCTTTTCTATTAGCCACTTGTACTGTTACATACTGTATTTTCTGTATAATTTTTACTCCATCTTTCCAGATGTCTCAGTTTTTCTAAGCCTGTTTATCTCTATTCTCCTGTGGTAGGAGTACTCATCTGATGCCAGTGATTTCCTCTGCTTTGTAATGAGAGCAGGGTAAGTCTTTACTTTTTTGTCCTCACAGAAATGAGATCTGCAGCACAGAAAAGTGTTCCTCAGAAATCCAGCTGCTTCTAAATTCCCTCCCTGAAAGCCATGACACCAGCCAAGCAGCTTGATATGAATCCGAGTCAAAATTTCTTAATTCTGCCTTTGTCACCATGGCTGAGCTCCCGAATTGCAGCCTGTCAGAATACCTGGATTATAGCACCTTGATTATAGCATATAATGTGTTCCCCACTAGAAAAGGAGGCCTTTTGATAGACAGACCTTCAGGGTGGCCCCAGATTAAACATTCTTACACTTGGGAACTGCCTCTAATGCTTTGTCTGTTGAGACTGTCACTCCATTGTTGGAGGGCTCAGGAGGCACTGCTGTTATTTCCATGCAGCTCCAAGAACCAGGAATTGAGCCATGGTTTCCAGGAAGGACACAGACAATCTGAATATCCTGCTCATGGCATTGTCTTACAGATATTCTGATGCAATAATTAATTTTTGACCAGGTTTCTATGTTTCAATTCCCTTCACTCTACTGAATTCCACCTTATTTATCTATTCTGTTTATCAGCATAATTTTTTTAATTTTTTTTTTTTTTTTTTGGTAGCAATCCCAAGGTTAAAAATGATGTGGAAATAGCAAGTGAAATGGAGTTTCTACTACGGATCACACCATCAGTTGTTACCACAGCCTGGAGAGATGAACGTGGCCTTTCTGTTTCTGACAGATTTTATTACAATCAGTGAGATTAAAAAAACCCTCAGTCCTTTCATCAAAAAGACTCCACTTGGCCATTGCTGAATACTGAATGTTTTTACATTTTTTTACTTACATTTTAAAGTAGATCTGTTACACAGAAAAGAAAAATGCCACTTTTTATGTCAAGAGACTGTCTGATAGGAATATAAATGATCTTGTCTTTGGATTTTCCTATGGAAGAGAATCACAGAACCTTTGGGGAAGGAACCTTTCTGATCATGTAGTTCAACACTCTGCCTAATCAAGGTCACCTCACACAGAATATGCCCAGATGAAATTTCTCCAAAGACTGAGACCTCCCCAGTCTCTGTGGGCAACTTAATTCAATATTTGAGAACCACCAAGCAGGTTAATATCATAACCTTACTTTGGTAGGGATAAAATGCTAAGTGGAGAACATTCTTCAGATCACAATAACCAAAATTTCAGCAATGTTGTAAGATAAAACTGCACTTTGTAGATTATCTAGTAAAAAAGGAAATAAAACTATACTTCTATTTAGATTTCAAATACTTTTTAGTATAGATCCACTGAACACAAACTTTTATATTGACTTTGAATAAAATCATAGATTGTTCTAGAAGAATTTGAATAGTCTTGAATTTTTACATACATGTTGCATGAGTGTTGTTCAGTATGGGAGGCTGTAAGACCAAAGATAAATGTATAATGATTCCATGCAAATACTGACAGTACCACATTGCAGGACTGTGATTTGTTTTCTTCTGGAATATATGATGGTGCTTTATCCTCTAATACTCTGATACTGAAAAATCTCACAAAAAAATTAGACAAGCAAAACATAGAAATGTGGTGGTTTTGTCTTTTCATATGTGAAACAAGCATTGAAGTATTTTTATCCTTCTTATATTTATTAAGCTACCATTTGGATTGCTAAATTTTATACAAAGTAAAATATCTAAATTAGCCAACAATGGGAAAGGTCAGTAGCTAATGCAGATCAATTTATGTGTCTAGACATGCAATTGGAGTTATGGAGTCAAAAAGCACAGATTAAACTCTTTGGATTTGTCTGACTCCAAAACATTCAAATAAAAGCCAGCATATGATAAATAAAAAACAACTTAACTGGGAATTTCTCATCATCCAGGCACAGAGAGGACATTTAATCAAAGGAACTGCTGACCAATAATGTAATTATTTAGTCAATCAAGTTGTTGGTTGCCTGGATGTGACTGGTGTTCTATGAAATGAACTCCTTTACTAACAAACTGGCTGTAATTTGGTTTAACCTGGGGCTGAATGAGTTTTACTAGAAATCCTAACAGGGAGAGTTCTTCCCACATTCTTATCAAAGTAAAACAAGCTTTCTTCTCTCTGCTGATTTACTCTCTGTTTTTTACAAAAATTACTATTCCAATATTCCAGCAGTAATGTAATATACAGTTGATCTGCTGGGTGAAGGTTGGCTAGCAAGTGGTGAAACAAATTTTAGCAATTCAAAATCTTGCAATTATTTATTCTGTATTTATTAAAAGTATCTTACAGATATATTTAGTCCAAAAGAAGCAATCTTTCTCTATTTCTACCCAACAAATTTCAAAAGGCAGTAAAATAAAATAACAAAGTTAATTTTTTTCTGAATAATCATATTACTAGACTATAGGATATACTGGGACAAAGCAATCTTTGCAAATATGATTCTGTCTAAATTCAGTGGAAATTTCAAGCTGCCATTTCCTGAGGAAAAAAAAAATTCCTCCTTCCATTACTTTTTTGTTGTTTGGGGGGAGATTTTAAGGAGTATGTTCAGA